GAAAAGGAAGTAAAAATAACAAACAAGAGAAAAAAAGGTGCTCGAATTAAAAGAGGATCAGAAAAAAGAGGAAAGAAGAATAAGATGACAAAAAAAGAAGAAAAGGAAAAAGAAGTAGAAAAAACAAACCGAATGAAGGAGGAAGTTTTGAAAACAATTGATATGCTTGTTACAGAAAGGAGAAGACCTTTCTGGTATGGCTTTAAGTAGTTAAACGAGTAGTCTATCTCTAACTGAGATAGTGCGGCAGGTTGCACTTAAGTACCAATAGGGTGGCCAAGTGATGCTAGACTTGAGTATTGAAAAATTCTATGTAATTATATGTATTTAGTTTCAAGAATCTTAATAAAGTACTAGCATAACTGCTTAAGGTTAAAAAAAAAAAGTTTTTGTAATAATAAGCATAGTAAAGTTGTTTTCAAATATCTTGTGTATATTGAATCCATTAATTGAGATGTAAATGTTAATAGAAAATAAAAGTATGAATATTGCACTAAGATCTTGAGTTAATGTTTTAAATTCTTGAATTAATCTGATTAATATTAAAATTGTTGTTAGAATCTTTTATAATTTTAATTATATATTCAAGTTCTTTAAGTAATAAATGAAGTAAAATGCTATAAGAAGAGTATTAGTGATTATAGTTATATTTGTATAATTTTTTATTAGAGATAGAATATATTGCAGTATTAATAATTAAGTGTTTGATTTTGTATCAAATAGTTTCAATACTCTTATTTGTATTATAGTTAAGTGAAATATTATATATTTTGAGATTAAAAAAAAGAAGATTAAAAATTTTTGTCAACTTTCTAATGATATAGTTTTGTAGTTAAAAATTTTATGACTAATACCAGTATAATAGTGTGGTGTTTTATTATATGCATTAGTAAAAGTTCAAAAAGAAAAAAAGATAAAATGGTTACTTAATATAGAAGTATTACTGTTATCAAGTCTATAAGAAAAAGAACTGTATGTTGAATGAGTTAGTCCAAATGTAGTTAATATAACTTTAACTAGTATTCTTTAACTATGTATAGTATTTGTTATTAATATGTACTCTAAGATTATATATATTAAATTAATATAGATAGTTAATAAGTTAAAATTTGGCTGAAGAGCTACAAATATTATTATATATATTAAAGTTTCTAAGAACAATTGAATAAAGATTTAGTTGATAGGCTTGTTAAATTCATATAATTACTATGTTTTGTGTTTTATTACATTTTTATATATCAGTAAAGACAAGATAAATTGCTATAATGTAGAGTTTAATATTACTTTTGAAAAAAAGATCTAAAGCAATAGCTCTATTAAAATGCATTTGGCAATTATGTATATAGGATTTGAGTTAGTTACAAATTATAATAGCAGTGCCTTCTGCTAAGTTTTTAGAGTTGGTTTAAAAATAGATAAAAAGATTGTTATTGCAAAACTAAAGATTAGTTTTGTTAACAATTTTTGTTTCAGTAATATATATAATATTGATGTTGTTGTAAAGATAGTAGTTTAGTTAAACTTTCTTTTTATTTATTGTATTAAAGCCTTGAACATTATATATAGCAATATTTAAATATAGATCACATAAGTTTTGGGTTAGTATAAAGGTTTGTGACCTAGTTGTTAGTAGATGTAGAGATGAAGTACTATTAAGAAATAAGTTTGATAGATTAGAAATAGAGTTAGAAGAATATGATTTAAAAGAAAAATTGTAAATTTAGAAAGAAGATAAGAGGAAATAATAATATAATTAGGCAAAAGTAAATTATTAGAAAGATATATATGAGTCTCATTATAGGTAAAATTAACAGAGAATGTAATACTAATGACTTTTTGATTATAGTTATATTTTTAATATGTTGTATAAGTGTTTGAATAGTTTGGTTGTGAAAAAGAAAAGGTATATTATAATAAAGAAGAAATTTGTTAAAACATATATTAAGATTATAAGTGCTAAAAATATTGAAAATAATTTTTTAGAGTTGTCTTTTACAGAGTTGATTACTATATGCTTAGCTCTTACAGCTGTACAAAATATTATAGTTTGCCCTATATATTAGGTTTAACTATTATTATTCTAGTTTTTCATATAATTTATAAATTTTTTATAATATATATATTAAAATAATATATATCTTTTTATAAAATTTTAAAGTTTATTAATTATAAAAAATTTATACTTATATATATTATAAAGTTTGCCTAAGTTAACTCAAATTTGCCTAAATAGTACAAAATAATCTATTTTGATTAGTTAATTTTTGTAGTTCTATATAGTAAACTTTATAATATAAAATTTTACCTAATCTTTAAATATTAATAATTTAATAAGATTTTAACCAATTTTAATAATAATATTATTGTTAGAATCACAAAAACCTACTTTACAAATTTGTTTAAAAAGTTTAAAATAGATTTAATTAATAAAAAGTTCTATAATTTAAATTATAAAAAATATTTATCATCAAGTTTATATATAATTTTAAAATAGTATCTACTACTCTTAATTTTTAATTTTAATTTTCAAGTATATTTTTTTAAAAAGTAGATCTTAAAGATATAAGCACAGTAACTATAGAGCTTTATAATAGTAGTTATTAAATAATTTATTTTTATTTTTTTATAATTAGTTATTTAAATTTTTATTTAAAAGCAAATATAGTTAGTTGCAAGCTTGTTTTTTTAATCATAATAATTGTAATAAAAATAATTATAAAAATTATTGTTATAGCTGAAGCTAAAAATTTTAAATATTTTAATATAAAATTTTTAAAATTTTTTAGGGAATTTCTATTTTCATCTAGGTAAAATCACCTGTCACATGATATCAAGCTACTGTGGCATTGATTATGTAATCAGCACAACCTAACAATCAATAAAATTAGTAAAAAATTGTATGCAACCACAATGCTACCATGTGATTTGTATTACTTCAAGAGCCAATAAAATTATACAATCACATTAGTAATTTTTTTGTAAAACTAATATATCTACTTTAGTACATATTACAATATCAAATTGTACATACATATATATAATGCAATCTAAAATCTCAATTACCTTATATAGATAAAACCAAATATGTAACTCATTAAAGATATGCTAAATTTAGCAGTAGCTTATTTTAAAGTTTTAGCAATATGTATAAAATAGTTGCAATTGAGTACACATTGTTCATATATATTATTTTATTTGAAGAATTGTAAGTTCTAGATCCTTCATTTTATAGAGGTTGATAATTCACTTCCAATGTTTTACAGAACCAGTTTATGAGCATTTTCTTGTGCTACATACTTCAATTCTATTATAGTATATATAGTACAAGTATTTGTTTAGATTATAACCTTATCATAATTATCAATTTAGCTATACCAACATTTTAAAAACAAGTAGAGTATTTTACTAAAATATTACAAAACTTTGATAAACCTATTTTTTATCTTATATAAATACAGATATTTTTTTAAAGTATAACAAATATGTATGTACTGTAATTTGTATATACTAAATTTATGTTAAGCTTAAATCTAATAAATATTTAAGTACATACATATGTACTAAATTTTTGTACTTTAATTTGAATAAATATGATGAATTTCATAAGCATGTATATACATTAAGTTTAAATATAACATTTTAAGTTATTTTAAGTAATGGATACTAAGAGTTTAAATAGAATAACATTTAAAGTAATGTATGCTAAAGTATATAAAAACTGTTTAAATAAAACAAATCTTTTAAGTAATATATATTAAGAGTTTAATATGACAAACCTTTTAAGCAGTATATATAGAGATTTAAATATAACAAACCTTTTAAGCAGTATATATAGAAGTTTAAATTCAACAAATTCTTTAATTAATATGTACCAAATTTAGAACAGAGTTTAAATATAATGAATAAATATGTGTTTTAAATGTGATTGTCATGAAATTTTGAAACTTGTTTTTATACAAATAATTTTAACCTAATAATAAGCTCTTTACCATATTCAAATTCTGATACAATCTATAATAATATGCTTAATATTATCAAACTTGACAATAATACAAATGAACTTTACAATCATCATAATAATAACATTGACATAAGTATATTTGTTGATTCTGATGATAGACTTAATTCAAATCTTGATATTAATGATATACCTCAAGAAGTGTTTTCACTTAACAACAATTTAGTATCATCAATTGAAGTTGGAAAAACTTTTACTAGTTGATGCAATGTTGAATAATACATTAAAGCTTATGCTATATCACAAGGTTTTGCAACAAGATTAAACTGTTTAGAGAAAAGCCTAGACATTATTATTAGAGCAGACATTGTTTGTTATCATGCTAGTATTGCAAAAAAAACAAGTACTAAATTGAGAACTACAAAGAGCATTGCAATTGGTTGTCTATTTAAAATAGTAGTTCATTGGATTAATAATGAATATCATGTAAGATTGGCTAATCTTAAACATAACCATTCTATAGATACTGCAATAACTTTGTTTGATTCTGGACATCACAAATTAAGTTATAATGAAAAGAATCAAGTAAATATACTATTTAACAGTAGTGTACCAGTTTTAACAATTATTAAGATGTTAAGTGAACAGTATAATAGATATATTTATAACAAGAATGTTTACAATTCTTTAAATCTCTGTTCATGTGACCATATTAAGGACTTGTTACAAATATCTGACTTTTAACCTATTTACATAACAATAGTGAATATAAAATCACTTATTTAGTTAATAATAATAAGCTTCACTGCTTATTTTTTGCTATTCAATTTGTGTTTACAACATTTAAATATTATCCAGAAATCATATTAATGGATGCTACTTATAAAACTAATCATTTCAGAATGCCACTTTTACTTATTAGTAGGGTTGATGCAATAGGAATTACATTTCTTATAGTAAGTAGGCTTCTTGCTGATAAAACTACTTTGACTTATAGCTGGATACTTTGTCAACTAAAAAAAATAGTAGATGATAATGTTATTAACAGAGTGTAAACAATTTTAACTGATAGAGATCTTGCTATGCTTCCTGCAATTAGAACTAAACTTCTACATGTTAAGCACCAACTTTGTATCTGACATATAGAACAAAACATTGTTAAAAATTTAACTAACAAGCTTAGTAATAAATTTTTAGCATTCAGTAAGGATTTTAAATTAGTTATAACAGAAACTGTTAAAGATCAATTTACTATTCACTAGAATTATTTGTTAAAAGAATATCCTAAAGTTAATAGTTACATAGAACAATGAAAGTCTATTTCTCATATATGAGCATACTGTTATACTAATAAAAATGTTAACTATAGTATTAGAATGACACAATGCTCAGAAGCTAGTAATGCTTATTTAAAACATCTGCTTGGTCATACAGTACCCTTATCTAAATTAATTAATATGTTTAAAAAAGTTATCTTGTAATTAACTTGAACGTTTCCAATATTAGCAATATCATTTACATAGAAGCATCTGTCAACAATGTCCAGAATTATTAAAAAATGTTTTAATGGTTATATCAGATTTTGTATATTCTTTGTTATTTGCTCAATATAATAGTACTACACTTTATAGTATTGAGGAACAAAGCATTAGTTTATTTAAAGTTTTTAACAAAAATCATGATCATATAGTATATTATACTGAGATAAAATTAGTATGCCATTGTAATTATGACTTACAATTTTCTTTATCCTGCTATCATATTATTGCTGTTCATCTTACTTGTAAAGAATCTCTAGGAGTTAATTATATTAGCACTTATTAAATTATCCTAGCAACAGACACAAATAATGTAATACAACCTGAAGAGTCATATAATATTAATAATAATAAAAACTCTTCAACTACTGTATTGTCTTCTTTAAACTATAATGCTTGTGAAATTCAAATTAGCAAACAATTAACATTTAAAAGTACAGCTAATTTAATTAAGAAAATTAAGCAATTGCTAATAGAGTTGGTCATGTTGAAATTAACAATTGTCTCTCTTTTTTCATTAAGAAGTTGAATAACCAATATCCCTTACAACAAGCTGATATTGGTGATCCTACAAATATTAAGACAAAA